GTAGACCGTGCTCTGGAATCAAGCTCCGGCCCGGTTCGCTGTGGCCGTGACAGTAGACACTCCATAGAAAAGTGCTAAATCTGTTAAACATGGAGTTCATCTGAATTGCTACACTAAAATCATCTGTACAGCTCGAGCTTGCCGTAGCAACGATTACTGATTCACGATGGTGTTTCGCTAGAAAGATATGGTCAAGAACAGCTGCTAATGCAGGAGGTCCAACCCTCTGGTTGGCGTGGGAGACAAGTGAAGCTCTATCCTATCGAATTCTGGGCATAGCGGCTAAAATTTCGGTCAATGATGCTCCAGATGAGCAACTTTATCAGCTCGTCTCACAGTGATCATCCAACCTCGACTTGGTTACGGTTTATTTTACAGAAAAAGCACGGTCAGAATAAGTAGTGTTTCTGTGATTCTACTGATTTGAATTGTATGGGGAATCCTCATTTGGTTCGTCCCATCGCTTCCAGCAATAGCGGATATGTGTTCCTCATTTTCAGCAGCTGTTGTCACGTTCGATTTTTAGGGCTGATGAATCTTCATTCGTCATTGCTCCAATGCAAGAGCCTCCAGACGCTTTTCAGAGGCTATAAGTTATTTACCGTGGAATCCTTTCCTGACCATTCACTTCAGTTGAGGGTTAGGCCTCACCAAAACAAAGAAAAGCCTGTGAAACGGTTTGTAACTGAGCGTTTTGCATCCAGCCCTTTCTCCTTCTAGGGCCACTTCATTGTAAAGGCCTTAGAGCTAAAATGGCTGCTATTCGGCACAGGATTCCGTTGTTCAACTGATGTCGTTCTTCCCATACACCTGTTTGTTCAAAAGGACTGGGCAGCAGAGGATAGTTAAGTGTTCAAGGGTAGTCTAATGAAGGGAGTTGTTGTCGAAAGTGATTTTCGGCAGAGTTGACCCCCTGGTCAACTGTACCATAACGGGCGGTGCGAATCAAATCGATTTCGACCCCTCGCGCAACTTCGCTGTTGGGTAATTTTTCGGTACTCTCCTTTACTCCTTTAACTCTTCCTCACATTCGCTCTCTGGTTCTCCAGATCGACCTTCTGCTTCTTAATCCACAATGCCAATTGGAAATTCTGTAGGGCTCCCAATAAGACTTTTCTAGAACTGCTATTCCGATATTGTTAGCAAAACGTTCCCCTTATAATCAGCACTTCAGCATTTGAATGGCCAGAGTCGTTTCAGTACATTTCTTATCTCTTTCATATGCTTATGCTCATATTTTGTGACGCATTTCATTCATGTGAGGATCTACCAATCTGTTTCCGAAAAGTACGTATCGATCCGAGTTTCCTTCTGTTATTTGTAGATCCTGTTGAAAGTTTTTTTCTATTCCAGAATGGACCAGCGAGGGTCCATCGTTCGGAAGGAGCACAGCCCCGTCAACGGTGAGATTTGCTACAGTTGTTTGATGAGTTGCCTTCGTCCCTTTCAGACTTCTTGCATTACAGGCTGTTTTTTGCACTTGCTCCGATCCGCTATTCATGATGTCCTTCGATTAAAAGGAAAACGGTTCGTATAAACCCATTCCCTTTTTCCAATCTCTTCCAATCGCATTAACTTGTAGCTTTCAGAAGACAGTAACTTGATATGACTTTTTTCAGATCGAATACCCTCATTCTGGAACAATCCCGAACATTTGGAACGGATGAAGGCCAACTGTAATGGATTAGATGAACATTTGTATTTTTTTTCAGAGAAAAAAGTAGGTAGAACAGCATCAAGCGGTATTATAACAATATCGACGATACTGCTTTAGGAAGCGCTGGACNTTTTTTTTCAGCAAACCAAATTAATTAATTATAATTTAATGACGATAATTATTTATGCTTAATTTACAAAAGTTTGAGGCGTGTGCAGAAGAGTTCGATGGAGAACACGTTCGGGCCGACTAGCTGCAGCTAACTGGCGCATTTGGCCGTCAGTGTCGGTCGGTCGGTCGATCGCATCGTCGACGAAGTCGAGATCGTCGTTGGCCGCAGGTCGTCGTCATTCTTGATACGACGCGTAACATCGGTAGAATAGTATGGCACAGGACGGAGAGCGATTGAGGATGCAACTGAATTTCTTGAAAGATCTCGGCTTCCCGAAACAAACACTGTTAAGATGCTATCAGTGTTGAAGGCGTTAGCCCAGTGTCATGTTATTTTGGGTCTGATAAGGCTGATCCTGTCGACTTTAGCTGACTGCATAATCATTCGTGCCAGCTAGAAGGCATTTGTGCCAGCTATTATTATCGTGTCTGGCTTCATCGTTCACTTCTATCAGCATGAATGCTGGGGCGAATGTGATTGGCATTCATTGGCGACATCGTTACCTCGAAACAGTCACTGTCAGATCATGTGTGGAGATCATGTAGACGATAATATGAGAATTTCGATGACTCGTCTGGGGACGTCTACATGATCTCCACACATGATCTGACAGTGACTGTTTCGAGGTAACGACTAGTATCGACTAGACGCCGGTCTCATTTCGGCTGCGATTCTGGAATTATTGTTGGCATTGGTAAAAACAATAATTTCTTCACGAACAATTCGCTGTACGGTGCGGGGTCCATCAGTTGAAATGGTTCCGTTGAATGGCGGCACAACATCGATGTCATGCGGTCCATTGTCGGCATGCTCACTGGATTTCATCTCATTCTGGCTGGGTGCTTGTCAGTAATACGCTCACACTTGTATTGTTTCGTTACATTCACGTGTTTGACTGCTTCCGATTAATGCAGTAGGCGTATGTTCATTTTGTTCAGTGTCCTGGCCTAGCACAGGCACCATGCACAGGTCAGGTTCTCTGCATCTCATGAGTGCTTTTCCGTTTCTCTTCGATGCGACACATTTCCCTGAGCTCAGCCGGTGCGCCCATGTCATAGGGCAGGGCTACTCCTTGATATTGGGAATAGTATGAAATGAATTTGGCTGACCAAACTGTGGTGTAGTGTGCAGTTTCATCCAAGGGGACTGCGGACGTTT